GTCTGTGTCTACAGTTCAGGGATGAAACACAGACGTCGCCTACTCCAAATACCGGTTTGCATACCTAAGATAGCTAAATGGCTCTTTTGAGTTTCACCAAATATTAAAATTTGACTGTTTTTTCTTTGATGGCCTACACTGCGACCAAATTACACATGTGGCGTAAGAAACGTTTAACCCCATCTTGCTCCTACTTTTATAAAAAAGGCTGTTAATTTCATTATTTTCATTAGCATTTTAGTAGGATTCCAAATTTTCCAGTATTTAGCCGTCCAGAGTCAACCTGGTTGCTACAGTCTTGCTTATATATGTATAACAATTTCCGGAATGTCATCCCATGGCGAAAATCAAAAATACCAGGATCTCCTGAACTAGGCGATGTGAGAATCCCACGTTAGTGAATTTACCGATTTGCTCCCTTGCATCGGGTAAAGCTAAGCCGGATTTTGAGCTGCGCACCTTCTACTAATAAAAATTACCGCCTGTTCGATAAAATTTAAAATTTACCCGTTCCATAAAATTTGCCCGTTCAATAAAATTTACCCGTTCAATAAAAACCTTACACAATAAAAAAAATCATTCTTCCCGAATGTTTCTTGTAAGGTGCAGTTAGTAATTTTTAAGCTTCTACAGTTATGCAGTTCAAAATCACCGACTCAACACTCCAAGTGCAATCAGATTTAACGGATGATTACAACTTCAGTGTTCAAAACTGATAACAATGCCCGCTCCCTCTCTTTCTCCATCTTACTACGCTTTTCCTCGTTTTCATTGTTTTCTTCCCTCCTTCATATTCTCTCTTTAACCTTCAATAAAGGGATTCGTACGTTCCAAAGAAATATACACCTCATACAATTATTCGGTGCAAAATTCAGAGAAGAAAGAGAGAGAAAGAGGGCTAAAAATTTTGAATCGAATGCTCAGAATATTTAAAGATGCGGGAAATTTTCCCGGCACATATTTGCGGATTTAACTCTGAGGAAGATTGGAAAGTAACCAGTTTTATTGATAGTTATGAGAAAGAAGTGATAAAAAGTATATTTGTGCTACTTTTAAAGTAATTTATTCGTATGATTGCAATAAAATTATTGATTAAAATGATTTATTTTTGAATTTTTCAAGAAAATTTTGCCTTGCAATATATGCTATAATATGATTACAGTGTGTGAAAAAACATGGGCAAAAAATCATGATTTCCAAAAAAAAAAACTGGCAACAGTAACTGGGATCCCAAAATGCACTGGGCTTAAAAACCTTTGTAAAAAAAAATATCTCAAACATACATAATTTTTGTTGATGAAATGATGCTAATTTCTACCACGTATAACAATAAAAAAAACCTACAGTCAAGTTAATCATGATTCTTGAGAGGATTTTACATAATCCGTTTACCAATTTTATGG